AAATTGTACAGAAAATTGAGGTGGTTTTTCATCTAAAGTAGTTGCATATGCCAAAACAATTATATTAAGTGCATGACTTACATTCAAATCCCACCATTTCTGTCCCTGCCCATTGATTGTACCACTCCCATAAACCCTAAGCCCATCGACATGTTCAAAATGGATCCATTCACGACAACCGTCATAGCATGTCCAATCTGAGGGATCTTTAGGTCCAACAATATTCCCATTTATCTGCAGTATTAATGGCCAAAACAACACTGATCAAAAAGAGGTATTGCAAAAGTATATATAGGTGAGTTGGATCAACCATGAACTAAAAGAGTACCTCAACATTGATTTGTTTTGGATCACACTCTCCTCTAAAGTACAAGGGTTGAATCATGAACGTCATTTCCGAAGGGACATGCATGGTTGGCGAAGAAGAAGACGAAGAAGAGCATGCTGCTTCCCATGCTTTCGTGAAAGCCTATGGAGAAGAAAGTTACACTACGTCAAGCTAACAACTTGATGATAATAGAATGAAACTCCATAATGAAATTAATTACTAGTAGTCCCCTTGGTAATGTACAGAAAAAATTCAGTAATATATATATATATATATACTCATTATCTAAACTTAAATCTGTTATACTATACTTCATGAATTTGAACCTAAGATTAATTTTCAATCTAATTATAATTCAATATGAAATTTACATGAATACATCGAGTCACCAACACAACATAAAACACAAAAATAAGACACATCACTTATATCAAATGACTAATATTACTGGGGATTAAAATATCGTTTTGAAATAGTCAAAACATTTTTAAAGAAATCAAATTCAGTGATGAAATCGAAATTCTAATAATTCGAGGTATTCTATAATGTTTTCTTATATTTTATTATATTTGCATAATTATTTCAAAATATTTCAAGGTATTTGAATATATTTTGATATATTTCAACTAATATTTTAAAAAATAATTTTAAATTTTTTTATTTTTTTTTAATTGTGGACGTTTCCAAAACTATTTCCTAGGTAACAAAAATAATACATTGAAACGAAATTTTGACTAGTGCTCAAAATATTCGATACATTAAATTAAATGATTTGAGTGAATTAGTGTTACACACAAAACATAGACTAACATGACCTAAACTAATACAATATAAGGGCATTTAATTCAAAAGTGTCTCACTCCTTGGTTTCTTGGGGGGGGGGGGGGGGGGGACAATTTTTTTTTTTTTTTTTTAAATTTGAATATGTAGCTCCTTTACTAAGTCATAATAGGCCCAAAAAAAAAAAAAAGTACTTGGGATTCAAAAAACTATCGGAAAACCATATTGGAAAAAAATGTTTCAATGAATTGAATGCTCGATAGAGGGCATTTAATTAATTCTAAAATTCTCCTAGAATGTAGAGATTTACCTTAGTATCGTCGATATGTCCATCTCCACGTGCACCATAATCAATGACATTGTATATCGAAGAATTCGATTCTACTTTCAAGAAACAAGACAAAATTAAAACGAAGAAAGACAGAGCCCAAACTTTCATGTCTAATCTTGAAATAAAGTGGAAAACAAATTTACTAAGAAAATTATGAAAACAAGGTAAAGAGTTAACCGTATTTAATAACTCTATCTGAATAAAATGATCGACATAATAGGTTTTAAAGTTATAGTATGATTCATATACCTATTTAGTTCATACCAATAAATATAAATATGAAAATTATATCTCAAATGTCACGACCAATAAGAAAAGGTGCCAAAGAGGACATAAGGCTAAAGTTGTAACTTCACTCCTTGCTGGTTTACATGATAGTTGGTGATATGTTCAGATAGGGCTTGCGATGTTTTGATTGGACGACATTGTAAGACAGAGATCAAGAGATTATTGAGAGGAAACTGTTTGTTTGGGTTGAAAGGAAATTTGCAGAGAATAGGAGTCGGTAAAATTTAAGAACTCTTTGTTCTTCTGATCAATGGCCGTGACAGCAGCTTCTCCAGCTGCTTATCTTAGAAGCGTAGACAAGCAGAGTTTCTTCGTTCCCAAACATCGATTTTCTCGCCTATTTTCCTCTAAAGGCGCCCCAAGATTTCTCGCCATGGCACCCAAAAAGAAGGTACTCTATTTATGCACATACCCATCAATATATATTCTATTTCCTCGTAATTGATAACCATTTGCTCCTGTTTGGTTGCCTTGAAAAAGGGTATTAATTATTATATCGTTAGAACAAGAAATACATGCAATTTTCCTTTGGTTGCTGAGAAAAACAGAGAGCTAGAGAAAATTTCTGTCTCATGGAAGAATTCGAATCCATAGGTGAACAAGTACGATGAGAGCTGGAAAAAGCAATGGTACGGCGCCGGAATTTTCTTCGAAGGAACCGAAGAAGTGAATTTCGACGTCTTCAAAACGATCGAAGAACGCAAAGTTCTTAGCAATGTTGAAAAAGCTGGGCTTCTATCGAAGGCAGAGGAGCTGGGCTTCACTCTCTCTTCTATAGAGAAGTTGGGTGTGTTTTCGAAGGCGGAAGAGTTGGGGCTGCTGAGCTTGTTTGAGAAGACGGCGAGTGTTTCTCCCTCGGTGTTGGCATCGGCGGCGCTGCCGATATTAGTGGCGGCGATACTGGCGGTGGTAGTGATTCCTGGTGACTCCGCCGGGCTTGTGGCGGTGAAGGTGGTGGTGGCCGGAGCACTTGGGGTTGGCGCGGTTGGGTTGTTCGTTGGTTCAGTGGTTTTGGGTGGGATACAAGAGGCTGAGTGAGTGAATGCTGTACTGTACTCCTCTCACTCTCTCCCCCTCTATCTCTGTCCGTATCCCTCTATATGTTTGTTTTGATAGCTTGAGAATGTAAATTAAATGCAGGAAAACTTGTAATGAGTCATGAATTTTTTTACCCAATTTTCAGATTGATTGTTTGTGTTATTGATGCATAGAGGTGCCAAAGAGATTACACTTCAAATTGTCATCTCAAACTAATGATTTAAGTAAAGGATTGAAGGTTTGAAATTTTAAAATTGATTTTGAAATTTGATAGTTGTATTATTCTAATTATTTTCGTTATCGAGATGAGTAATAGACAGGGATAAAAATCGCATGATCTCATTAATAAAGATTTATTGGTGAATTATCGTTATGGGGTTATATTATGAGACAATGTTAATGTGGTATAACTATTACACTTAATATTTACTTTTATTTTAGGATTAACTCGTCCTGTGGCATACTATTTCAATTTAGGGTTTTCTAAAAAAATGAAGTCTAAAGTTCAGGCTTTTTCATTTTTACTATTGAGCCGAGGGTGAAAACTTTGGACACAACACAATACGATTTGAAATTGACACGAAAGTAACGAATTAGAATTAATAATTTTTTAACATGAACTTGTAAATGTTGGGAAGCTCTGATGAGGTAAACAATAAAACTCAAAGATATTCTGGATGAATGACTCACATTTTTATTGAACAAACTTGGCTATATATATAGCCTTACAGTACTTAACAGACCAGCTGAAATAAAGTTCACATTTAGCTAAAATCTCAACTAATCCTAAAGACTAGAGATTTATTTAACAGAAGCAAGACTGAGTAAACTAGACTCAGTAAACACCTAAAAACAAGCAAAAATTATCCTTTCAATCCCTCCCTTAAACTAACTGTGGTAGATAGTTAGTTTAGTTCAGCTGCCTTGCAAATCCCCATCTGACTTCTAAGCTTTTGAAAGGCATCCAACTTCAACGGCTTTGTCATCACATCTGCAGTTTGCTCCTCTGTTCCACAGTGTAACAACTCAATGGTTCCATCCTTAGCAAGCTCTCTCAAGAAATGGAACCGTACATCAATATGTTTGCTCTTCCCATGCATTACAGGATTCTTTGACAATTTGATGGTGGAGCTGTTGTCACACATGACTATGGTACCTTTCTTTTGTGCATGACCCAGCTGCTCCAAAACTCTTCTCATCCACACTGCTTGACTTGCACATCCAGTTGCTGCCACAAACTCTGCCTCTGTGGTTGATAGTGTAACAATCGGTTGTTTCTTTGAAAGCCAAGAAACTGCTCCAGAACTTAACAGAAAAACATAGCCGGAAGTGCTTTTCCGATCATCTAAGTCACCAGCATAGTCACTATCTGTGTAGCCAATCAAGTCATCTGAACTCTCTTTCTTGTACATGATTCCATAATCAAAAGTACCCTTCAAGTACCTTAATATCCTTTTGGCAGCTTGTAAATGAATCTCTGTAGGCTTAGCCATGAACCTGCTGATCAAACTCACAGTGTACATTATGTCTGGACGAGTTGCCGTGAGATACATGAGGCTTCCTACAATTTGTTTGTAATATGACTCATTAATTGCAACTCCATCTTCATCCTTGCTCAACTTGCAACCTGGAACAATTGGACTATTGACTGCATGACTATCCAACATTCCAAATCGCTCCAAAACATCCTGTGCATATTTCTTTTGGCATATGAAGATACCATCAGGCTGTTGGGATACTTCAATGCCGAGAAAGAACTTCATTTTTCCTAGATCAGTCATTTCAAAAGCTTGCATCATTGAACACTTGAAACTGCTCATCATCTCTTCATCATCACCAGTATAGATTAGATCATCAACATAAACACTGACAATAAGTATTTTACCTTCTTTGCTACTTTTTGTGAAGAGAGTCTGCTCATTTGGACATCTTTCGAAACCTTCATTGACAAAGTAAGTTTCAATGCGGCTGAACCAAGCTCGTGGAGCTTGCTTTAAGCCGTATAGAGCCTTATGTAACTTGTAGACCTTGTCCTCACTTCCTTTGACCTCATAACCCTTTGGCTGCTCAATGTACACATCTTCATCAAGTTCACCATGAAGGAAGGCTGATTTCACATCTAACTGAAATATTTTCCAGTTTCTTTGAGCTGCAAGAGCCACCACCATCCTTACTGTCTCCATTCTTGCCACTGGAGCGTAGACCTCGGTGTAGTCTATCCCATATTTCTGCGTGTAACCCTTGGCCACCAAGCGTGCTTTGTGCTTCTCAAGCTTTCCATGCTCATTATACTTGGTTTTATAGATCCATTTCACCCCAACTTTCTTGGCTCCAGCAGGCAGCGTAACCAACGTCCATGTCTTGTTTTTCTGTATGGACTTAATTTCATTGTCCATTGCCAATCTCCAGCTTGCATTCCTCACTGCTTCTTCATAATACAACGGATCACTTGATACCATTAGTGCCATATTACTTTCATCTTCAGATAACCCGAGGCCCTCCCCACTAACATAATCCCTCATCCATCCTGGACGATTTCCCACTCTCTTACGGATACTACCTCCACTATCTTCACTATTCCCATTGTTTGGAGATTCATTTCCTTCATCACCACTGCCAGTCTCACCTATATTTTCACTATTATTTCCAACCCTATCAGTGTTTTCATCTCCCTCACCATTATTATCACCTACTCCAGCATCATCATCTTCCCACTCTAAATTTACTAAAATTTGTTCTGCATAACTCACATCCCAATCCCATTGCCTATCCTCTTCAAATATCACATCCCTACTCACTACCACCCTTTTAGTAATAGGATTATACAGTCTATATCCCTTAGCTTCCTCACTAACACCCAAAAATACACAAATAGAACTTCTATTGTCAAGTTTAGTCCTTCGTACCTTTGGCACATGAACATGTGCTATGCAACCAAAGACCCGAAGATGATCAACAGAGGGCTTTGTTCCGCTCCACGCTTCTTCAGGTGTGATGTTTTTGACTGCCAAGGTTGGACATCTATTCAACAAATAATTGCTCCAATTTACTGCCTCTGCCCAAAATGGTTTTGGAATTCCCTTCTCTGAGAGCATTGCACGAACCATGTTCATTACAGTTCTGTTCTTTCGTTCAGCTACGCCATTTTGTTGAGGGGTGTAGGCAGTTGTCAGCTGCCTTTTAATGCCGTTCTCCATGCAGAAGTTGTTGAATTCAACTGAGGTGAACTCACCTCCCCTATCTGTACGCAGACACTTGATGGACAAACTTGTCTCATTCTCCACCATTTTCTTAAAACACTTGAAATGACTCAATGCTTCTGGCTTCTCACTCAGAAAATACATCCATGATTTTCTACTGTAGTCATCTATAAAACACAAAAAATACCTTTTGTTGCTGTTGGACATGGGAGTGATCGGTCCACAGATGTCTGCATGGATGAGACCCAATATTTGACTTGCTCTCCAAAAACACTTCCTGGGTATAGGATTACGGTGATGCTTGCCAACAATGCAATCTTTGCACAACTCATCTGAGGCAATGAGATTAGGAAGGTCACGCACCATTTTCTTGCTCTGCAAGGTCCTTAAACCTTTGTAGCTTAAGTGTCCATATCTCCGATGCCAAAGCTGAGACAGATTCTGTGAGCTTGTGTGAAGACACTTTTCATGTAGTTGCTGAGACATCATTTGTGACTGGTCAAACAAGATGAACATCCTATTTGTGCTCATGTCAGTCTGAATAATCAAGCCCTTATGAGGATGAAAGATCTTGCATACCCT